CCTAAAATTTATTGAATTAAATATTCAATTAAACAAAATTTGTTTTGATTAAAATAAATTGTTGTTGGGCTTTGGGCTGAAATAAAATATATATTGATATCCAATAAACATAATTGGGATAAATCTCATAGAGATAAATCCAACATGTTGATTTATTGTGTGATCTTGATTGGGAACCTGAGTACAGACCCAAATTAAGAATAAATGAAGAAATTGTTTATAATGTGAACTTTGAAATGATTTATTGAAATAAATAATATGAATTAAATGTGAGAACCTTTTTTAATAAAGGTCAATTAAACCAATTTTGACTCTGTCAAAGTCAACCACCCAAAAATATGATGTCGGAAAAAGTATAACGAATAAATATAAAAATTATATCGTTAGATAGAGTTTAACTGTCTGATCGCAACGGTGCAATCGGATTTCAATTCGGAGAAAGTTGGACCAAAAAGTGTTCCCCGACTAGGACTAAATTAGTCCCAATCAGGGAAGAGTCGTGAGAATAACAGAGCCGCCCTCCCACAATCGTGTAAATGACGAAGAAAAACAGGAAACCTCATTGTTTTCTACTTTCTCTTTACACTATATAAGCATGTATCCTCTCCCTCAATTCTTCATCAATTCTCTCCATTATTCTTTCTATTCTGTTCTTGAGAAAGTGAGGAGTGCGATGGTGCTGTCCGGAGAAGTTGAGGTCGCCGGAGCAAGCCATGGTGTTCGCCGGAAGTTTCGCCGTTTTTCCGCCGGAATCATCGTTTCACTTCAAAGTAAGCCCGTAGATATATCTAGTGACTAGAATGTTCATATAAATCGTTTCTACGTTTATAAACGGTCGTTTGGTTGAGTTTTGTGTTTGACATGCTTGAAGAACCAAGAATCATAAACCATGAAATTGATGTTAAAACTATGAATTAATGATGCCAAAATGATCTATGAACCTTGGAAAACATCTCTATATAGTTTCGTTGAAGTTCGATAACTAAAAACGGTATTTCCAAAATTGGACCCGAACGAAGAAGATGATGAACAGTGGCTGAAACACCACTGTCTGGATCGATCCAGGGGCTTGGATCGATCCCCTGGGAGTAAATTTTCATGGTATGGATCGATCCAGAGGGCTGGATCGATCCCCCGAATTTCTGATCCGAAAATTTGTCTGAAAATGTTATTTTTGAGCTCTAAAATCCTATTTTTGATAACAATTGATTAAGATCATTATAAAAATGATTTTTCACATTAAAAGTAATATTTTTAACAAATAAAATGTTATGTGATGCATGACGGTAAGTTAGGGTGTTAACACTCGAAGCTAGGCCGCTAATTATTATTGAATATTATGTTGATTGATGATTATGGTAATGATTATTGATTGATTATTATGATGATTGAATCTTGATGAATGTTTTGATTAAAAATGGTAATTATGAATGATTAAATTATAATGAATATATTGATGATTGTGAAAATAATATGTATTGTCAAGGGTATCTAGAAGAACTCTAAGATATACCCATATTAATGTTGATTTGAAAGGTATCTAGAAGAACTCTAAGATATACCCATGTTAATATTGATTTGAAAGGTATCTAGAAAAACTCTAAGATATACCCATATTAATGTTGATTTGAAAGGTATCTAGAAGAACTCTAAGATATACCCATGTTAATATTGATTTGAAAGGTATCTAGAAGAACTCTAAATATACCCATATTAATGTTGATTTGAAAGGTATCTAGAAGAACTCTAAGATATACCTATTTAAGTTAGGCCTTGCGGGTATGAACCCCGGTGGCTAGGGTTAAAACGTACGTACGGGATCCAAGAACCAAACTTGAGTACCTACTCGTTTGGGGGTACCACCCACCCAACAGTGAACACTACGCTGTCGGTTTTTGGTT